AGTATAGCTTTAGCGCTGTAGAAGATATGCACATTAGAGGGCGGGACCACGCTCACTTTTTAATCTAGGATGAACCCTCTATGATGTGAACCTGTATACCAAATAAAAGTATTTTTTAACTGGATTTTATCTGAATCCATTATCAATGATCTCTATTTTTATGGCCATTGGAATCGATAAATCAAGATATTCTTTCCTAGACTTTTAATTACTCAACAAAGGTCACTCAGTGGTGCATTTGTATTGAAAAATTATGTACATATGGTATACGTATTAAAAAATAATTCTAGGACCAAATTTTCAAATTAATTTTATAATTCACATTTGCTAAAATGACTTCACTTGCGTAAAGTATCTACTAAATTGCATAATAAGAAGCTTGTGTTGCCCTGCTGATAACTGCTTTGTGGTGTGTGGATGACTTAGTGGCTTCGCTTGTACGCTTCTTGTCATCATCGGTATTCGAAACTCATATTAGTGCTGTAATTTGTTATTGTTGTTGCATTATATTGAATACAATTTATGCGCTATTGTCACAATAATCCACACCACACAATAACAAGTGCATACATTTAATAATACACGTATGTACAGACATACATGCATATGTGTGCGTATTATGCGAGAGCGGTTGCCTCGACAAAACGTCGCAATATCAAAGCGATTGCAGGCGTGCGAGACATGGAGATAATTGTGCGCTGAACGAAGTTTCGAACATTAAATTTAGCGGTTTGTATGCACTGCAAGCTGCTAGAGTTCAAATAGCGCTGTGAGCAAAAGCATGAGGGCAAAAGTATGTATAGCGAGGAGTGGCACAAGCGGTATAAACCATAGTTGGCGAATACCAACCAAATGAGTATTGTACAATAAAAAATATTGCTATCCGTTTTTTTCTAAGTAAGCTTTCAAAATCCTGAACAATGAAATAGCTTTTCTACATTTGTTAACAACATCTTTTAATTTTAGCTATAATTTCGGTATATCGATACCACCATATGCGGTGGTGCAACGAATAGAAGGGTGTACGACCACTAAGCAAGACTTGAGTTCGATATTTGTGCCGAATAACTTTCAAAAGACCTTCCATTGGGGGACGTTTCATTGAGGTTATGAAAAAAAATTAATTAAGTATTTGAAGTACATATGTGTTTAACATAGAGATTCTCTGTTTGTTGGACCAAATGAAGACTATACAACAAAAGTAAGCGACTTCTATCAGAGGAGCTAATGAAAATAAATTAGATGATTGGAACTCAGAGATATCTTATCACTTTTAGGCTCAACTAAAGTAAGCGACTTGCCACTGGTACGGATTTTCATTGAAAACACAGTACGGCAAAATCGACTTTTTCTGGGTATTGGATCTAACCATTTTTCTTTTGTTTTGAGAGTTTGAAGCCTAAGTCGGAGTTAGCCTCGGAAATCGAACTTTTTGCCTTCAATTTTCGAAATTAGGGTTAGTGGAAAATATTATTATTAAATATAGTAAGTTAGTTAATATGAGCATCATTAATGTTTGCCTCTCATTTCAATGGCGGATAACATATTCGGTCAAACTTATATAATAGTTGCTATGTTGGGTCAAAGTCACATTTTACAAAATAAAACAAAATTCTAGTCCAAAATTCCCCTGAGACTATATGTTGACCCTATCAGACTAGTCGACTAACTTCAAACGTCAGTATGCGTTAATCAAAAAGCAGCTTGGGGGTTTCAACCACTAAAAGCAGCTCAAAATAATCAATTTTTACGGAGAAATTGAAACTATGCATGAATGCTACAAAGCGTATACATATATCGCACGAATAACCGTTTTGCAGCATTGCCCCTCAAATGTTAAGTGAGACACCAAAGCTGAATTGCTGCTGGTCGCATAAAGCTGTTATTCAATATGGCTTGGGCATTATGGTGTTTCTGTTTACATCAGTGGCAAATGCTTAAAGCTACTTTAAGCTCAATCATAAAAGCGTAAGCCTGCATTACGATGGGTATGTGGCATCGAAATTAAATTAAGGTATGGTAAATGGTGAACAGCTCTAAGCCAAAGGGTTCAAAAGTGCCGAATGAACATAATTATTGTAATTTTGGGTGCAGTGGCTGAGTTAGTTTAGTACTTGACTATCGTTAGTGCGAGCGTGGTTCAAAACCCCGCTGGTAGAGATTAGTAGATGGCATTACAACTTTCTCTAATAATCACTATCGCCCCTAGAGTTAGAACGAGAAGTGGCAAAGACATTGGATATGGGTAGTGCTTTCGCTGGGTATCTACCGGATTCTATAAAGCAATAAAAAGAAATGTGCGGCTAAAGAGGCGCCATATTTTAGTTACAGACGGCGCGTCCCCTGCGTGCTCACAGGACAACATGTGTAATGCCAGTTTAGTTAAGCGCTTTGTGGGTCTTAGCTCGTCAATTCAATTAGTTATTAACTGCTACAGTTTAGTGCGCATTTTGAAAGTTTTGCTTTCAGCTAAACAATATTTGTGGACATTTTTATTTATAATTAATTCAGCACTCGCAGTTCCCTAGAAATCATCAACATATTCGGCGTATAAAGTATATTTTTTCTCCTCTATTTTAAAGCCAAACTACACTTCTCTCAAGTGCTTAAGTACGCTAGCAGCGAAAGTATGGCAACTCATTTAATTCAATTTATTTTAATCCTTTGCATTATCTCTCAAAGCTACTTCCATTTAGTTATTTATAGCAGCGTGAAATGGTGTGCTTGTAGTCGTTTTACGAGTACGTAAGTACCGTTTGTCTATTTCCGTTTTCGACACTTCAAAAACGGTTCTTTTGTGCGCTGAGTGCGATTTCCCACTGCATCTAATTTGCTTTGCTCACAACACAAACGGTTATTACTACGTCAAAGCCAACTCTTTTGCTGGGATAAGTACGCCTCCTTAGGTATCAGAGACGTTAACTAATTTCGACTGCAACTGCAAGCTTCGCAAAGCGGAAATGGAATTATTGAAAAGTAGAAAGTGCAGTAAAAAGCAAGCAACAACGGCGAAAATAGTAAAAAAAAGCAGTTAGAAAACGTAGTGGAGAAGTAAGAAGCAGAAAAGAATCACGAAAATACGCATTAAAAAATAATGAGTTGAAAGCACATAAAAGGCAAGTGCGGCGTTTGGTCTCTCTCCTTTCATGGAACATGCAATATGTATACTCGTATATATCCTAACGTATTGTCAAAGAGTCGGAATATACATTTATAATATCATAAACGATTTATGAGCAAATATGATATTCTCTGAAGAATAAAACAAGGAAATAGTATCCCTCTAATTAATTCAAAAGAGCTCCCTGAATGTGATCATCGCATTTTTCCTACTATACCTATATAGAGAGTAGTCAAAGAGTGATGCTGTAAACACATAGACGACTGCACTTTACGATGTAGCGACAGCGAAATTTCTTTCTCTGCAATTGACATCTTGAAGTTAGCTTCTTGAACATTTTGAAGACGGCAGCGACATATCAAACAGGTGATAGACACAATTTCGTTGTTGTTGTTGTACTAAAACCTTTCACTTCAATAAAATTTAAATCTTTTGCTTAAAGTGAAAGTTTTCGTGCAAAGTAAAGTAAATAGGTCGATTATTTTGTTTTAAATTATCAGTTGTTATTACAAATGACATATTAAAGCTATTTTATGCTTCTGTTATTAAAATAACATTAGCTTTGTATTAGCTTTGAATAATTTCACATATTAGTGGTCAAAGATATGTCAGCGGATTAAAATGAATAACATCTTAGTACGGCAAGCAAATGATGTAACTTATCTTGGCATTCACTTGGACCGTAGGCTCACATGGAGACATACATATAGTCAGTCAAACAACTAGCATGAAAATAGGAACAGCAAATTTAAAGTGGCTTTTAAACATAAATTCTAAACCTAGCCTTGACAATAAAGTTTTGTTATACAACGCTGTAATTAAGCCGATTTGGGTGTATGGTATTCAACTGTGGGGTACGACCTGTGCAACTAATATTGATATAATACAGATGTTCCAGTAAAAAATTCTTAGAGCTATAACGGGTTCACCATGGCACATTCAAAATGAAAACATTCACACAGATTTTAGGATTCTTATGGTAAAAAAAGAAGTAGAAGACAGCAGAAAAACTATGAATTTAAATTCCGTAACCATCCAAATCCATTAGCTAATGCCTTGCTACAGTCCAGGAATCAAATTCGCTTATAATGAAAGGATCTACCAGCCTTTTAGAGAGCAACGTATCACCAAACATTCTTAACTAGAATCTTGAGCTTGTTTAGTTTTAATTAGATTTAAGATTTTATTACTTATTGTTAGGCTTTGAACAAGCAGATTCAATAAATAAAGATATATTAACAAAAACAAAAAAAAACTAGTGGCTTTACTAAAACCGCCCATTATCGTCAGCAAAATTTAAAAAAAATATAATTTGGCGACAGCGACAACTGCATGCCTGCTGCCGTGAAGTCGTGCTGTTGTCTAAATAACTGTTGCCCATAAGAACGTGTGTATTTTAATATTTGACAGATGCTCGTTAGTTTGAACTTTGACTATAGCAAAATCTCCGTTACCTGTAAGATTTATCTTAAAATATTAATGAAATCAGGGAATGTGGAGTTTGGGTTGATCTGTCAAGAGAATAAGAAAGAAAAGAATATTTATGCATCTATCAAAGATTCAAGCACACAGTTCTTCCCTAAGCCAATTCAACCAAATACATATACAATAGTAATATTAGATCTCCTACTTGCAGCTGACATTAACTATAATTTTCTGAGACTGCTGAAATCTATGCCAACCTCTAAGAGGACGGAAGGTTGAAGTTGATAATATCTACATTTTTAAGGCCAGTGTATTTCGTGGTTTAGTTGATTTTATTTGATCTAGCGATATCCTGCAAAACCAGAAAACACGATCTTTACTTCTGTTTCTTTTTCAACCCAATTTAGGATTTTCATTTTAAAAATATAATTATAAATAATCTCTGTAAACTTACCAAATCCGCAATATTCGCCACCTGTATAGCATCGTGTATGACCTCGGCACGTGTGCTGCCATTACGTTTCTCGTACATCGCTTGGTCCACAACAATGGCCGTTTCGATGTATTTAGTTGCTTCTCGTACATCGCGCTTATAACGGCCCGCACCGTTCGGATGTATTTCGTCGATGACACCAGCCGACAGCAGTTTTGGGCGACGTGACAAACGCCACGTCTCTAAGTTACCCGAATTGGCGCATCCTTTGTTGGCTTTAGTGCGTGCCTCAAATATCACATGCGGATGCTTCTGCTGAAACGAATTGGAAAGAAGGTATGAGAGGAGAGCCAGGGCAAGCTGAACGCAAATATGTATAATATGTATAAAAGTGAACTTAGTATGTCAAAATATTCGTTAAAGTGTACATTTTTTGTATGCATTATTTAACTAAAGATACATATATTAAATACTCAAATATTCATTACAATAGTTTTAGTTTTTATAAAAAGATCTAGATATTTTTTCAAACAGAATTTTTTGATTATCATGCAAAACAGACTCTTAATTATACGAAATCTTCGAAAAAAGAAATATTTTCCTCTCTTATATAACTGATCTGCGATATATTATATATCTCATCTCTTTTAAATTACTTAAATCAAGGTCGCTTGAGTATTCTGTTAACAGGATTTTTGATGATCTTTACTATTTGAACTCTGAATACATGGTAATTTCTATTCTATCAGATATTTTCAAAAAGGTTCAAGATCTTAAAGTAGAGGAGACCGACTCCAAAGGAATGATTATTTTCAATTGGTTTATAAATGGTTATAGAGAGGTAAAGCAAGTTATTTAGTTTAAAGAACTTCAGCTATGGTTACACATATGTATTTTCACACTCAGTCTTTAAGGGTTAAGTTGACAAAGTCAGAGGGAAGGGTCAAAATTATAGAATTTCCCGCTTCCATATTTACACTGACGGTTTCAAAATGAACTGCGATGTAGGTAAAGGGTTGGCATGACATTAAATCATACCAAATTAAAAATTCCTATGAGACGAGTCCGTTCGTCCGTCCGTGTAGCTATAACTTGAGTATACATTGAGTTTTCTGGATGAAACTTTGCCAAAGTAATGTACCATAACTAAGCTCCACAGTAAGTAAGATTGATCGCCCTTCTCTGCTGTTTGAAATTTGTGCCTGATGTGGACCGTCTCGGAATGACTGAGTTTTATTACGTCAAAGTTTTTTAACGGAAAAGTATATATACTTTTTTGCAGATTTTAAGTTCCCCTCCTGCGATAAAATAGGTTACATAAATATATTTTTATACATTTCTCTATTTTTAGATTTTAAAGGTACTTTTTTCCCCTAAAAATTTAAATTTGTATCGTTGCGCGCAAAAATGTCATCAAAATTTTACAACGACTTTTTGAAATTTATTCAAGGCACATTTGCGCCAATACAAGCGATTGCAACGCGTGTGGTGCCCCAACCACATATTAAGAGGAAGGGTGGAAGCATAACGGGGCTAACACTTATGGGCATATGTATACGTGTGTGTGGTTTTATTCGTATGTGCATATGTGTGTGTAGGTTAACTGACGTCGGGGATCAAATGCCAGCTCAATGACGTTGTCGGCCACGCGCTAAGTGTGAACTCTTGGTGTCAAATTTGGCAGTGAACAATGTGTGGGCGCACAACCACACATGCACATACTCGCACATGCATATGGATGATAAAAACCGCTTCTTGCATATATTTGCACACATTTATTTGCGATAAAAGCGCTTTCGCTGGATTCGCGCTTGTCGAATGAGCCATGCGTGACACCTCGAGCGTCGCAGCAGTGATTCTCTGCCGAGCGAATTTCTACTTAACTTTGGTTCTGTTGCTGCTAAATGAATCGCTGTTCGACAGCGTTCCGGTTACCGCCCACACCTTTCGATATCATTTGTGCTCTCTGTACTTTTTTATTTGATTTTGCTACGGCGAACCGATTCATCAAAGCGTTTTTCGCTGCTACTGAAATCAAATTCAATTTCGTTTTCTGACTCACATAGTTATAGGTATGTACATATGAACGCCGGCACACCGCCCGCCCCTTGCTTATTGACTTTATAATGAGCAACAGTTCGTCGCGAGGCGGCAACAGCTGTGCCAGCAAATACTTTGGCAATGACAATGTGGTCTAAAACATACACACACACATACACACATATGCTCACACATAGGCAGTCTCCATTTACGCCTACTGACACTTGCATGTGTCGCGCAACTTTAACATTTTAATTAAATTTTAATTACTTTTGACGGCGCAAATACCATTCGTTGTTTACTTGAATACTCGCCGGACTGCCTGGCAACGAGTACAATTCCATGTTTGTCATTGCTTAACGCGATGTGCGCGTGTATGACTGCCTTTAATATGCACATCATGGTTTGAGTAATTGAAAGTATAGACTGACGAAAATCGAATTTTCAGGGATTTATATAGATGTACATGTGTATGTGTGTGTAGAAAGATTTTCGTGTATTTAAATGTTAAAATTATTTGTAAAACATAAATTTTAAACTAAAGTGGTGGGCGAAAGAGAGGCGATGGATCAATAATAGGCGAGGATTCGTTCTAAGGTGGATGTTTGGATATATACATATTTTACGTTGAAAGACTTATATCCACTTGCGAATTTCAAACAACTTCTTAAAGATATATCAAATGCACATACATTTATTTAAGAATATTCTCCAAAAATTTGCAGTTGATAAGGCTTTCACAAAATGGCGGATGAAAATTTTCACACGACCTTCATCGAAAGAACAAGATTTTTGGTAATAATTTCGATTTTTTAATTTTATCACATAAAACGGTTTTTTGTTTTAGGATTCGCTATTTTGCCAAAAATATAATTTTGAATAGTCCTGGGATCATTATCTGTATTCAGCTACTGTTATAATACATTTTTTTGATTTTTGGATTAGAGATAATGTTATGCTGAAACATCTTTATGGGCTACGGAATCAAAGGTACAAAAAAGTTTTCCAAATGAATTGCCGATTAAAATAGAATTTCATTAGAATTTAGAATATGTTAAGTTTAGTATAATTGAATTAATTTGTATGTTCGTCGTGAAATTACAACACAGTTTTTCAAATTAATGAATATAAACAATTTTAAGGAATTTTCAAACTTATTTATAAACTGTTAATTCAGCAATCTTATTGTCACAATTATTACAACTAAAACAAGAACTAATGAAACTCGCGGAAAACCTACAAAAACAGAAAGAAAATGTGATAAATACTATTAAAAACAAGTAAGGAAGGGCTAAGTTCGGATGTAACCGAACATTTTATACTCTCGCAAAGTCAAATGGTATACTCGTTTGAGATTTCTTTATGGATTGACTGATATTTTCGGTAGAAGGTCAACTATAGGCACTGGGGTCCACATATTTAGCACTTAGGGGCTTGAACAGTTTTGGTTCGATTTAGACAATATTTGGTCACAAGGTGGCATACTTTAAACGTATTATTCACGCAAAATTTTGCCATTACAAAGTTGTAATCATTGTTGCTTGATATGCATAGTGGAAAGTGAAAGAATCAGATGGAATTGAAAATGGTGTTATATGGGAAATAGGCGTGGTTGTAGTCCGATTTCGTCCATTTTCACACTTTAACATAGAAATATGAAAACAACGTAATGCACCGAATTTGGTTGAAATCGGTTAAGCAGATCCCAAGATATGGGTTTTCACCTAAAAGTGGGCGGTGCTACACCCACTGACTAATTTTGAACGCGGTTTCTATAAAGTCATATCATACCATCCCAAAGATAAAATTTAATGTCTCTGGCGTGTTTAGTGCTTGATTTATCGCGCTTTTAGTATTTTTTAACAGTACCGTTATATGGGAAGTGGGCGGAGTTGCCACCCGATTTCAACTTTTTTCACACTGTAAGTAGAGGTTCTAAAAACATTTGCTTCCAGTGAATTTTGTTATTATAGCATTAGCGGTTTAGGAGATATGCACATTAAACCTATTAGAGGCGGAACCACGCCCACTTAAAAAAAAAAATTTTAACTGCAGATGCCCCTTCCTAATGTGATCCTGTGTATCAAATAATAGTCTTATATCTTATTGCGGAGCTTCGTTATGGTAATTTATTTATTTTTGATTAATGGCGTTTTGTGGGCGTGGCAGTGGTTCGATTACGCCCATCTGCAATACCAACCGTCTCACGGTACCCAGAAACATGTCTACCAAGTTTCATAAAGATATCTCAATTTTTACTCAAGTTACAGCTTGCACGGGCGGACAGACGGACCGACGGACGGACGGACGGACGGACGGACGGACGGACGGACGGACGGACAGACGGTCAGACAGTCACCCGGATTTCAACTCGTCTCTTGATCCTGATGATTTATATACATAACCCTATATCTAACTCGATTAGTTTTATGTGATACAAACAACCGTTAGGTGAACAAAACTATTATACTCTGTAGCAACAGGTTGCGAGAGTATAAATATTATATTATATCAGTTGACAATGTAAATTAAAAAAAAAACAAGAAAACACATTGATTCTATGGAAACCTGTATGTAATTTGCAAATCTGCTCTGATGAAGGCCGACTCAAAAAGCAGATTTATATCGCTCGTATTATCCACCGATCGTTTAGATTTTACTTTAGGAACTAATCAGCTGTAATGCACTTAAACTTAATTTTCAATAAATATTATATGTGTTTGGCTATTCAGAGCGAGCGATTGGTTAATCCAGAGGTTCAAATATGCTTATATACCAATGTCTCTGCAGTTACTGGATATACGTTGAGAATACACCGAGACATATTAATTCACAAGTGTGTGCGAAACATTTTAGTTATAGACCCAAATTCGTTAGATGGAAAGCTCATAAGCCCATACACCTTTAATTAGTGATCACATGAATTCAGAAAATTCTCTAAGTCTCTAAGGGAGTCCTCTTTTGAAAATCAGTAAGTTTTTAGTTCAAGTCATTTTGTGGATAAGAGAATTTAATGCCGAATACTATCCCATAAAATGTGTCTACGAATAGAACCCTAAAAAGCCTGCAGACATTTTTGGAAACCGACATTATTGACGCTCTGTTTGGCGGATTAATTCTGAAAGCAGAAGAACTCAAAAACGCTCAGAACGCTAAAAAAGTCGTGAGTTAGTATGAGACCTCTAAATTTACAAGTATAATTGAAAACATCAGCTACCATATTTTATAGGGCTGCTTAAGGTTAGGATTATGGGAGTCAGAAGAATAGTTTA